GAGAGAGAAAAAGGAGCGCACCAGGAGGGCTAGACGGGGCAGCCTTCCGCACCCCCTTTTCCGCCTGCTGTCTGGGGGAGCTCCGGGCCCTGCCGGCCGATCCCTCCCCCGCTTCCCACCGCCCCTAGCTCTCCGCCCGGTCTGCTCGACCCACGCGCGATTATTCCGCGAAAGCGTGGAGGCTGCGGGTTTGTCCATGGAGGCAGGCACCTTTTTCGATCCACTCGAGGAAGAGGATTTGTTCTGGAAATCGGAGTGAAGGAAGCACCGAAGCGAAAGTTAAGGGATCCTGCCTCCCCGGAGCCGCGGGCGATGCGACTCGCTCCGCCGGGCGCTCCAGCCCGCCCGGCTTCGCCCTTCTCGGCAGTCGGGAACTAGTTCCCTGACCCTGTCGGATCCCCGCCCGCTGCCTACATCCTGGATATGTTTTCTCCCAGACCTGGATATTTTTTTGATATCGTGAAACTACGAGGGAAATAACTTGGGGCGGGGGATTTCTTCTTGGCTCCCTGCTTCTCCCCACGGACATGCCTTCAGTCTGGAGGGCCGAGGCACCCGATCCTAGACGAATGAACCCTTCCAGCCGCGAGGGAGAGAAATGAAGGGAATTTCGGCCGCGGAATATAAGCTCTGCAGCTAGGTCCTCTCATCTGCCATTTGTCCTTTCAAACTGCCTTGTGATACGGGCAGGATAAGTCCACGAGAGAGAAGACGAGCCTCCTGGCCGTGTTTCTCCGCCCGTATCTACTTTCCATATTTCTTTTCTTTGCCTTCCTGCTTCTTGGCTGGCCCAGGGATGACTTCCTCGCTGCAGCGGCCCTGGCGGGTGCCCTGGCTACTGTGGACCGTCCTGCTGGTCAGCACTGCGGCCGGTGAGTAGCCAGGGGTGGCGCGTCCCGGCCACTTCCCTGCGGGTGGCGTGGGAGGGAGCCCGCAGAGGCCGAGGCCTGTGCTCGCCCTACGCGACCGGTCCCCCTTAGAGCATTGTGGAGGGGAGCCGCCACCGGGTGCCTGCGCGCCTTTCCCACTCCTTCCAGGGAAATCACCTTTAATGTTTTTGTGGAGTTTCCTATCCCCACTCCCAGAGTCCCTTCCCCACCCCCCTCCATGGGAAAAAAAAGACATATTGGGTGTGGTATCTTGACATTTTTAGCTGTGAGGTAATGCAAGGATTAAAAATAATATTTTAATCACCAGTGAACAGTGTCTATTATAAGATCTCTGGAAACAGAGCTGTCGATTTTGTTTTAATATAAATAAGCGGATTTGATTTATAGTAAAAAGAACATCAACTGGAGAACACACACTGGAACCTTAATTTTAGATTTAGACCACTCGTTGGGAATCCATGTTACTTCCATTATTCAATAATGTTACGGAATGAATAGAATAAATATTGAGAAGCCAGAACTGAGATTATTGATACATTGTATAATACTGTTTATTTATCTTACTAGTATTGTTCGCAAGTATTTCAGTAATTACATCTCCATCTTTTCAACCCAGACACTAGTATTTTGTATGCTTCTGGAATTACAGTACTGTTGGGTATAGAATTATTTTGATAACTTTGCTATTAGTTGTCTGGCATTTATTGGCTTTCCTGTCATTGAGAGAACTTTGACCTGACATAAGACTTCTAGGAGATTCCACTCCTGAAAGTTCTTTGACATTGTACTGAAACCTAAATGATTGTCATCCTTTCCTTTGGATATTTTATTTTCCTCTTATCTCCTAAGCACCTTGGGGAAAAAAACTGCATAATCTGTTTGCGGTTATTTCTTCAAGCAGTCTTTTGGTGATATGTGATTATGAATTTTCAGGAGTGAATTGTACATATGATTCTTAAATTTGGTTTAGGATGGACAACTGGATTATGCTTTCAAAAATGAGTAAAAAGCAAAATGACATTGCCTAGTCATTTTTGTTAAGTAAATGTATAATTTTCACATTCAATAAATTTTTCGTTATTATGTTAGACACAGAGGTTACTTATTCTCATTTAAAATTCTTCCCTGGGAAAATATTGAAAGAAAATTTGAAGTTCCCTTTTGTCCTTTTGGTATTGTTGATTAGTGCCTGTCATTTATGATGAATCTGTATAATTGTGTTAAAATAATTTGAACTTTTGAGTTTATTTTGAAACTATTATTTTAATCATTGTAGTTCCTTTCAGAGTAAAAATGGGTGATTTTTCTCTAAATTTCCTTTAATTGGTGTTAGCTATTTAAATTCTCTAGCTGTAAGCCATGTGGTTCCTGTATATGAAGAGAGTAAAAGGCCTTAAGTTTAACCAGTTATTACGTGAACGTAAATCTTAGAACTTAGACTTTTCAGTGTTTTTCATTATTCTTGATCTTTTTAGAATGTAGTCTTATTTATAATGACATACTCGTAATTTTGTGTTTAGAACTGATTAAAGTAAGTAAAAAACATTGATTTTAAAAATAAACTTAATTTCTATTTAGTAAATATTAAGAAAATTCTTGAATAATGTCCCTTAAAAGGGATAGATTAAAAGAATCATTGCTTCAAAGTAGTTTTAGTCTTTTTAATATTTCATAGCACAGATGACAAAATTTGTGAAGCTGGATTTCAGAGCTATAACAATAATAGCTAGTATTTTATTGAGCCCTTATTGTGGACCAGCAACTATTCAAATAACTTTACATATATTTTCTTGTTTGATCTTCTTGACAATTCTATAAATTATTATTATTCCATGTTTACAGAGAGGGAGAGTGAAGTACAGACATAGAAATTATTCAAAGTTATTTGAATAATTTACCACACAGCCAGTAAATTATGGTGTCAGGATTATAGCTGGCACAGTAATGATAGGAACAGCAGCAACAACTTCTGAATGTAATTGGGTACATGAAATAGAGTAATGCCTTCACCAGATTAGCCTTTGAAAAGAAGCAGAGACACAGGATGTTAGTACAGCATTGGTTATGCAAATATCATGATTCTGAATGTGTGAAACTTTGCCTAATATTGGAGTAACTAGTGCAGCTTCATTAATTTTGAGGTGACTAGAGATGGCTTGTATGGATTTGGGATATGTACATGCAGTGATGTAACTAGACAGGTGCAAATAATGCAGTTGAACAGGAAAAAAAATGCCAGAATACTAATTGGTAGCACATCCCTTTTTAGGATCATGAATAAAATAATTTCTTTTCAATCTGTCTTTCTACTTATCTCATATAGGTCTTGGAGGGCGGCGCCTGTGGCCCAAAGGAGTAGGGCGCCGGCCCCATATGCCGGAGGTGGCGCGTTCAAAACCCAGCCCTGGCCAAAAAACAAAAAAAAACAAAACAAAAAAATATATAGGTCTTGGAGTTCTTAATTCTAAGAACTGTTAGTATGCAAAAAAAATAGAATTTTTTACTTTGCTTAGTTTATAAAATAGAATTTTTACTTGCTTAGTTTATATACAGACTCTTAATTTTAATAAGAGATTACAATGCAGGTATTTAAAGGTCAAGCTTCTATATGTGTTTGAAATATTTAACTTGACTAGATTGTGGTTTTGCATACATCTCTTCAGGAACACATAACATTGTCTAAAGTGAGATTCAGGCTTGGTGCCTGTAGCACAGTGGTTATGGCTCCAGCCACGTGCCCGTAGGCTCGTGGCTTCAAACCCAGCCCAGGCCAGCTAAGCAATAATAACAACTGCAACAACAACAAAAAATAGTTGGGCGTTGTGGTGTTCACTTGTAGTTCTAGCTACTTGGGAGGCTTAAGCCCCCAAGGGAATTGCTTGAGCCCAAGAGTTGAAGGTTGCTGTGATCTCTGACGCCATGGCACTCTACTGAGGGCAACAAAGTGAGACTCTATCTCAAAAAAAAAAAGAAAAAAGTGAGATTCATCTATTTTGTGAGTTTTTGAGCAGTTAGTTAATATGGCTGAGTACCTAGAAATTTAGTAATCTTCATTTTAATGTTTCTCAAAGTGTAGGCACTGCAACAGAATTACCTGTGGTTCTTGATAAAATGTAAAGTTTTGGCTTAGCAGCCTAGATATATTGAATGGATCTGGATTTCTCTGGGACATATATATTTATATGTGTATGTGTGTGTGTGTATATAGATATATATATATACATATATATATATTTTTAAATTTAAAACCCAAGAGCATCTCACTCAGACAAGTTTGAGGACCACTACTTTGTATTATCTGTCCTGATTATTTGGATTTATTAAATAGTGATTGGTTAATCTCTTGCTTCCTAATAATTGGCAACCACAAAATTTTAGTGGCATGCAACAATATGCATTTATTCTGCTCTTTATGTCTCCTTTGGAGACCCAGGCTAGAGGGAGGGGTAACATCTATCTGGAGGAGGTTCGTGTCATAGTCTTGGCACAAAAAGAAGAGAGCATGCCCAACCCCACTAGCACATTTCCAGATTCTGCTCCCAGTCGTATGGCCAAGCCTAAAGACAATAGGTATCAAAGTATACTTTGCCTAAAATGAAGCTAATATAATATATAGTTATATGGTACTATTTCAGAAGCAGGAAGAATTGAAACTCTCCGTCTACCACATACATATATAATCAGGAAGATGGTCTAGAAGCAGGTCTTCTATTACCATTTGGGTGGGGCCAAGCTTTTAATTAGGGTTTTCCATTAAAGTTATATAAACCTTGGTCTCTCTATAAGGACCATGGGATGATGTGTTGGTAGTATTACTGATGCTGATGAGTTTATAAAAAGAGGGGAGAGAGATGTTTATTCTACATAGAGAATAAACTGTACCTACTCATATATTGTCTGCTGTTGAATATCAGTTTTTTGTATTTTCTTTCTTTTTTTTTTTTTTGAGACAGCCTCAAACTGTACCCTGGGTAGAGCGCTGTAGCATCACAGCTCAGCAACCTCTAACTTCTGGGCTTAAGCAATTCTCCTGCCTCTGCCTCCCAAGTAGCTGGGATTACAGATGCCTGCCACAACGCCTGGCTATTTTTTGTTGCAGCCATCAGGGCCCAGGCTGGATTCAAACTTGCCAGCTCAGGTATATGTGGCTGGCACCTTAGCTGCTTGAGCCACAGGTGCCAAGCCAGTTTTTTGTATTTTCCTTGTGTTTTCAATTCATAATTGCTTCCAGAGGATAGCATTCATATGTTACATTGTTTCGTAATCATATTGCTATGTCCGTAGAAGTTTAAGAAATACTTATTGAGGGCGGCGCCTGTGGCTCAGTGAGTAGAACGCCCGTCCCATATGCCAAGGGTGGCGGGTTCAAGCCCAGCCCCCGCCAAACTGCAACAAAAAAATAGCTGGGCGTTGTGGCAGCTTCCTCTAGTCCCAGCTACTCGGGAGGCTGAGGCAAGAGAATCGCCTAAGCCGAGGAGTTGGAGGTTACTGTGAACTGTGACAGCACAGCACTCTACCGAGGGCGATAAAGTAAGACTCTGTCTTTAAAAAAAAAAAAAGAAAAAAAGAAATTCTTCTTAAGGCTCTTAGTCTGTAGCTCAGCGGCTAGGGTGCCAGCCACATACACCGGATCTGGTAGGTTCGAACCCAGCCCAGGCCTGCCAAACACCAATGACAACTATAGCCAAAAAGTAGCCAGGCGTTGGGGTGGGCGCTTGTAGTCCCAGCTACTTGGGAGGCTGAGGCAAGAGAATCACTTAAGCCCAGGAGTTTGAGGTTACTATGAACTGTGACGCCATGACACTCTACCAAGGGCAACATAGTAAGACTCTGTCTCACTATGAATGAATAAAAAAAAAAATTATTGAATGAATAACAAAAGGAATTAGAGCCAGGACATATTCTAGGAATACTTACTGATTCAAATGATGTATTTCTTTGTACCACTTCCTTAAACCAGTACATGGTTTAAGTGTTACGGT